CCAGCGAGCAGGATCAGGCCCAGGGCAGTGGGATATTTCCTGAAAGGTGCCAGGTGGAGGTGGAGGTCTGCCTAGTTTCTTGGGGTATTTTGGGGGAGGTGGGGATTAATGGCTTGCAAAAATGGCACATCCATCCTGCCTCAGGAAGCAGCAGTTGCACAGACTGGCTGCACTTGCTCCCATAATCAGCTTGCTCGTCTCATTTGCATGTGTAATAACCAGCATGTATGTACAATCATGCTAATCACTTTGAGGCAACTGCTTTAAATTCATCTAACACCCTGCCCTGCCTGCCCTTGGGTTATTTAGCTTCCACAAAGGAACCGTAGCAGCAATCCGGAGATTCACCTCACAAAAATCTTTGTGAAACAGTCACAAAGTGACTGAGTGAAGGAGAAGTTTTTTTCTGGAATCCTGCCCATACATACTGAGACTTGCACTACCAGCCAGTGCCATCATTAGGAGCCCGTCCAACAACTTCTGCAAGTAACCTAGAAAAGTACCTAGTGGGGATTTTCACAATTTATGGTGTGTTGCTGCAGGTGAAATATAAAAGTAAATACAGAAGGAAAGAGGAAGGGAACTACAAAGCTTCTCTCATGCAGGCTGTTAGTGAAAATGGTCTGAAAGTAGTGCAGGGAAAAACTAGTCTTTAACCCTGTCAGCTTTATGAGCAGCTTAAGGATTGTCTGCACTGCTCTTCTGTGGACACCTTTGCAGTAAGACCTGTCAGGGCTCCTGTCCTTAGGTCCTGTAAAGTCCAGCGTGAGGACAGTGGAGAACATCTGCCATGGATGTGGCTTCAGAAGTACATGGACTCCTGCACCTGCCTGTGTCACCAGTGTGTACTCAGGCCAGTCATTTTAGCCATCTGTGACTCCCATTTCTCACCCTGTGCTTCCAAATTTTAGGGTGCAAGCTTCTCCGGTGTTTTAGGTATGCATTTTATAGATCTAATGCAAGCACAGGCATCTGAGTCAGAAGCTCTAGATGCACCTGCAGTGGTGCTGGAGGTGCCTCCACCAGTCCCCATAACAAGCCAACATATGCCAGATAAGCCAGCAGCCAGACCCTGGAAGGGGCACAGCTTGCTCCATAAGTAGGAATATGAACATTTCAGCAGCACTCACAAAATCTAACAGGCCTCTGATGCTGAACTTTCCCATCCCTGTTCCTTCTGCCAGTCCAAGCCTGAGCTCTGGGGACGGCTCTGTGGTTGAGCCTGTTCAAGCTCTTTGATTGCCAGTCCAAAAGTCCTCAGCAGCACAAGACCAAAGTTGCATGTTTTTTAAGGAATCATGAGAACTAGTGCCACAGGAGGAGGCCCTCTCCCCTTCTTGCTTCTACTTCAGCAGCTGTGAGGTCTGGGGTCAGTGCTCTGGAGCAGGGACCACAGGTGCTTTTTCCCAGTGACTGGAAAAAATTTTTCCAGTTGTGTAAGCAGCTGGAGTATCAGTCATGGCGGAGGGATAATTTCTGGTCAAGTCCAGATTGGTCCCATTGGCTATTCTTGTTAAAGAGAAGTGAACCTGGAAGAGGAAAGGAAGGAGGAAAGGCAAGGAATGGAATGAAAAGCCTGCCTGCAGAGCATCTCCAGAGGCATTCCTGGTGGTGGAAATGTCTTCCCTTCAGCTCTCCTTCTCTCATTACTGACAGTGGAAAATACAAGAGCTGCCAAGCCAGAGGCTCAGTACAGCCAAGATAGGAAACCTTATTAGAGAGACAGATGGTGATTTCTATAATCTGAAATCCCAGACTGTAAATACTTTGGGATAGAGCCCTGTGCTAATGCCTGACAGCAGCTGGATCCAGTTTTCTGTGCCCAGCTGTTCCTTGGGTGGCTTTTGGTGAATGGTGGGTGCTACCAGGACAAGGTGTGCTTTATGGAAGGAGATGGATCCTCTAAACCCTGCTGGAGATACTTCATCTCACAGTTTTTTGTACTTTCCAGCTGAAAAGTGCTTTCAATACCTGAGGACAGTCACCTCATATTTAGAAGTTTTTCCTAGCCTGACAAGATTCCCAAAGATGTATGATTGCAGCAGACCAATAAGGGGGAAAATCTGTATCTTGGGAGCACAGGTGACAACTTGCTGCAACTTGTGGAAGAAATGATAAATGTGTCTCTCTCTTTATTGCTTAGCTTCGTGGCTAAATCTGCTAAACCAAAACCGAATTTTACCCTTAGATCTCACAATTTATTTATTTATGTTCATCTGGCATTGCCTTGATCTTCAAAGCAGGAAGGTATATCAAAGGAAACAGAAGGTTTGACACCAATTACTGCTTCTGGATGCCATTCACTGAATAAAGATGGAGTGTTAATATTTACACTGAAAGTGAAGGAGATAAAACCCAGGTACATCTAAGCCTACAAATAAGCCCTTCTGTGTGGGCAGAGATAAAGCCAAAGAAAAAATATTTAAATTACCATTGCAAAAATCCCAAACACCTTCGGAAATGTTGGGTTGTAGACAAAGAAATCACAGCAAAAACACCAAAAGAGCCTTCTGGAAAAGCAAATCAGGCTCCTGCTTCTCGGGGGTAGTGCCTGGTGTCCTAGAGATGGTCTTTTGAAACAACCTGCCACACAGAAAGAGTTAACATCCAAAAGTCCCCACGTTTCACCATGAGACACTTGACTTACATTTTATTCTCTTGAGTCTGAAGCCAGCAGTTCAAACACTTTTCTTTGTGTCCATCTCCGCTTCTCTTCATCCCGTGGTCCTCCCTACTTTCTTGCACCCCCCAAGTCTTTCCCACAGCTTTTTTGGCTCATTGACCTGAGAAGCCTCTCAGTGAGGCAAACACCCCATTGCACAAGTCCTTGTGGGGTTGTTTGGATTTCAGAAGCAAATTTGTGGAAGAGGAAGGTAGCGAGGAGAGGCAGAAGGTTCGCTAGCACTGGGAGGGTGCACGGCAAAACGAACAACAAACCTGCTCTTACCTGTTTAAAAAGGAAAAGGAATCTTCACAGCATTTTTCCTGGAAATACCAATTTAGTAACTGCAAGTGAGGCTATTATAAAATTCCTGGTCCTAGGGCATTGCACAGGAGGCTGTTTACACTGTGCACTACTTCTAGTTAATCCAATTTACACAATGAAACCAGAGCATTTAATGGAGTAAATTCTTGTTTCTAGTTCTAATCTCATTCTTCAGATTAAATTCATAAGTCTGCAGTGCCATGTACAAATCACAGTTATACAGTGCATTTTAGTGAGTTAAAAGGTAAATGGCTTTATAGTATTGATTTGGAAGGGATTTTCTTAACAGCAAGTAGCTTTTAGAACACTCACTCAAATCAAGCTTTCAAAAATTGAAACTCTTGCCTGACATTTGGGGGTTTTTTAAGGTATATGGGCTTTTCTCTTAAAACCATAGTTTGCTATATGAACTTAATTCAAGTGAAGTTTCCAGCCTTTGTAGACCATTTCTACCTTTCAGCTATGGAGAAGAGGTGAGGCTCTTCTAGAGAAGACCCCAGTGTTTCTGAGCCATGTTGTACCTGGATGTTTCTCCTTGGAGGAGAACCAGTCTTGTTCCAGGCAGTGACTGCCTGTTTGGGGATAAATGTTCAGAAGCCAGATATTTCTTGACTGATAGGATGTCTGTGCTGGGCTTGGCTGAAGAGAAATCCATCAAGAATTTCTTTCGCCAGTTCCCCAGGTGGTAACTGAGGATATTCTGGTATTTTAAGCCTGGCTGAGAAAGGTCACTGTGACTGTGTTATATTGGCCAGGAGGGAGTGTGTCAGATTTGCAATTTGTGAAACAGAACTTTTGTCATATGTTTTGTAATTCATTGCTTAATGTTGTGCATCTGGTCATCAGGCACATACATTGCAATCAATTTCATGCTGCTGTTCTATCAAGAAGGAGAAAAGCCATCCTAAGGGACCAGCTTACACTCAAGTGAGGACATTAAATGTTAAGTCACATGTATGTGTGTTTTGAAATCATAGCTGTGTTCTGGAAGTTACCTAAGAAACTATATATTATCCCACCCAATCAATAAACTAGGAGAAGAATTCACTAGTAGAAAAAACGCTCCTCGAATTGTCTGTCAGCTCTAAAACCTCCCTAAAAAGGCTTTAAACGGAGCTGTAATTAGGGAAAGCTGGAAAGTATAGAATTAATGTCTATATAAAACAGGTACAGAAGGACAGCCTGCCTATGCCATCGGGAAGCTGCAAACCCACTAATGCAGCACTTCAGAGTCACTGGCCCGGGATCTGATCAGATTTTTTTTTATTGCACTCTTCAGCTGTTTTATGACAACAGATGAGGTGTCCAGTGGCTGGACCTGCCCTGTTTTGGCTGTCCCAGTGTTGTCTGCTTTGGTTTGTTTGGATGTTTGCTCTTTTCCCTATTTGCTCAATTCTCTTGCAGAATAGCTCAGAGCTCAAAATGGCTTAAAGAGCTTGGTGAAGTTTTCATGTTTTTTCACAACCATCAAGTTTCAAATTAGAGATGAGTCATTAAACAAGAGTGTATTATTTGTACACTTACGTGGTAGAATTGTACACATGTCTCTGTAATTAGCCATAAGCACCCAAAATTACAGCTGTAACTGTGCATTAACTGGAGGACTCCGCTCTGATCGAATCGTACATTCACAGTTGCATTCCTTCTTGCTTAGATTTCAGAGCCTGTTGTCCAGATGGGCTTTGTTGGGCACCTAATTAGTAGTTACTCAAAAACTCCTGCTGTGAACTGCTTCACAGCCTTCCTGGCATCCTGGCGGCTGGGTACGTGTTCCTTGACTACATGGAGATGAAGGCACAGGAGTTGAAGTAGATGTTTTATCTCCTTTATGCATCTGCTGTAACTAAAACAGCTTCCAAAATAAAATCAGCTCAGGGTGCATTGGTTATCTGACTTCTGTGTACTGAGCAAAAGTAGTCTTGCAGTGTGTAAGTGAAAATACAGCCATGTGTTAACGGCAGCGATCGCATAATGTATTCTGAGATGAACTCACTGTTTTCTCTTTCCTTTCCAGATCTTGGCAATCATTTCCATCATGTTTATTGTACTATCTACAATTGCCTTGTCCCTTAACACACTTCCTGAACTACAAGGCGTGGATGAATTTGGGCAGACCACAGATAACCCCCAGCTTGCCCACGTGGAAGCAGTGTGCATTGCATGGTTTACAATGGAATACCTCCTGCGGTTCCTCTCCTCGCCTAAGAAATGGAAGTTTTTCAAAGGCCCCCTGAATGCTATAGATTTGCTGGCTATCTTACCCTACTATGTCACTATCTTCCTCACTGAATCCAACAAAAGTGTACTTCAGTTCCAAAACGTACGACGAGTGGTCCAAATATTTCGGATTATGAGGATACTCCGGATTCTAAAGCTCGCCCGGCACTCCACGGGTTTACAGTCCTTGGGGTTTACACTCAGGAGGAGTTACAATGAGCTTGGATTACTCATCTTGTTTTTGGCCATGGGCATTATGATCTTTTCCAGTTTAGTGTTTTTTGCAGAAAAGGACGAGGATGATACAAAATTCAAGAGCATCCCAGCTTCCTTCTGGTGGGCAACAATCACCATGACAACAGTAGGCTATGGAGACATCTACCCCAAAACTCTTTTAGGTAAAATAGTAGGAGGACTGTGCTGCATTGCTGGTGTGCTGGTGATTGCTCTCCCCATCCCAATTATTGTCAATAACTTCTCTGAGTTCTACAAAGAACAGAAGAGGCAGGAGAAAGCCATTAAGCGCAGGGAAGCTCTTGAAAGAGCAAAAAGGAATGGCAGTATTGTTTCCATGAACATGAAGGATGCGTTTGCCCGCAGCATAGAACTCATGGACATTGTGGTTGAAAAGAACGGAGAAAGCATAACCAAAAAGGATAAAGTTCAGGACAATCATTTATCTCCCAGCAGATGGAAATGGACCAAGAGAACCCTTTCTGAAACTAGCTCTAGTAAATCTTTTGAAACTAAGGAACCAGGATCCCCAGAAAAAGCCAGGTCATCTTCAAGTCCCCAGCACTTGAACGTCCAACAGCTTGAGGACATGTACAACAAAATGGCAAAGACTCAGTCCCAGCCGAACCTTAACACTAAAGAGTCGAGTCAACCTGGAAGGCAAAAGGAAGAGCTGGAAATGGAAGCCCTTCCCGGCCCTATGGTGCCCCTGCTGACAACTCGCACTGATGGGATCGTTGACATGAGGAGCATGTCCAGCATCGACAGCTTCATAAGCTGCGCGGCAGAGTTCCCCGACGCCGGGCGCTTCTCCCACAGCCCGCTCACCACCCTGCCCTGCAAGGGTGGCATTAACGTCATTCAGGAGCAGAGCAGGCCAGAGGGGAGCGGGGCCAGGTATGTGGAAATGAACCCAAGCTCCGAAGGCAGCCACCGGTCTGCTTTTTTCATTGAAAGTCCCAAAAGCTCCATAAAGGCCAGTAACCCTTTAAAACTAAGATCTCTGAAAGTCAACTTCATGGAAGAGGACACCAGCACATTAGTACCAGCATCAAATGTACTGAGGATATATCCAGACTCTCTCAAGAGCCGGGGAGCTGCTGCTGCCACAGATACTTCCTTACTCTCTGACAGATCTCTCATGAGCCCCGAAACCTCAATCTACACAACCGCGAGCGCGAGAACCCCCCCAAAGTCACCGGAGTCCCAGGCAGCCATAGCTTTCAACTTCCACGATGCTGGTATTCACAAATATATAGACGCTGACACTGATGACGAAGGTCAGCTGATGTACGATTCAAGTCCGCCCGGAAATGTGAGTCCCAAGTACAATGTTACAAACAGTGGCTATCTAAAGCAAAAGGACCATGTTTATAGAACAGAGAAGAACCATCTAGAAGCTGCTGCTTTACCCACCTCCCCTAAGCTGATAGGGCAGAACTGCATTTACTCTATGGAAGGTATCACTGGAAGAACCCAGGGCAATCAGGAGACTGTCAGACTAGAAAATCACATTTCCCCAGAAGTCCATGTATTACCAGGCAGTGGAGGACATGCTAACACACATGATCAAAGCATCTGAGGTGGGCTACAAAAGAACTTACTGAAAGTTTAAAGGAATGTCTTTACAGTCAACACAAACAAAAGAGCTTCTGCATGGCATGAACTTGGCTGAAACAAGCCACTTGTTTCTAAAAGTCTGGGGGAGGTCCAGTGTGGGTTTGTGAAAATGTCCTTCTCTGAAACAACTCTAAAGACATTGCCCACATCAGTCAAAAGTAAGGATTGCAAATCATGATCACACATTGATCTCCTTTCATGTTGTCCAGTGAAGCCAATGTGACCAAATATCCATCCATTCCCCTTGAACGCTAGAGCTCCTTTTGGAAATATTAACATCTGATTTGCATTAGTTCCATAAAGGATGCCAAGGCAGCCAGATTTGAACTCTGGAATAAATTGCTGGGGTTGGTATAAAGCTTTCAAAAACACAATGCTCACTGCTTCAGGGCAGCTGTTCCCCATCTACAGCTTTCTCTGATGGATATTATGTCTAAAGGTAACAGGGAACACTTGCATTATTGGAAAATCCGAGTGAAAACCATTTTAAACAAATAATGGTCTAGAGAAACCAATTATTAAAATGCTCTGTGTGTGTTTAACAATCCGATATCCTGTAGGACCTGATGTTTTCTTTTGAAATATCAGCAGGGTGAGTTGCACCACTTGTATCTAATCCCAAACATCCCCTAGGACATAGTGAAACTTGCACTGACCCTCTGCTAAAAGCCGGTACCTGCCCCAGGGCCAGCGCGTGGCCCTCGGGGGCCCACAGCCCACGTGGGAAGGTGTGAAGGAGCCATGCAGAAGCAGGACTCTCCGGGGGGCACCGCAGCCAGACCCCCTTCCCGGTGCCGGGGAGCGCAGGGCTGGAAGGAGAGCTCGGCTCTCGCCCTCGGTGGGGAGGGAGATGTGGCTGCGCTGCCCGCGGGGACGGTGAGCGCGGCCAGGCCCTCGGCACATGCTGAGGGCACAGGGATGGCTGTCCGGCCTCCCCTTCCCGCCAGCCAGAGTCTCGCCCTTGGCGTAGGAGAGGAACAGGTTGGTCCGAAGCTTTTTGCGCCCGAGCAGCGCAGTGAAAGATATGCAAGTGTTACATAAATATGCAAAAAGAGGCATTCATTAGTGACCCGTCCCGGGCCTGGCTGTGCTCCCTCTCGCCGGGAGGTTGGACAGGAGAGGCTCCTGCAGAGCCGTGGCGTGGAGCAGCTGCGAGAGGCAGGAGAATCAGGCCTGACGTTTTAATAACATCCAGTCATTTTTAAGTGAAATAAGAGGAAAAAAAAAAAAAAAAAAAAAAAAAAAAAAAAAAAAAAAAAAAAAAAAAAAAAAAAAAAAAAAAAAAAAAAAAAAAAAAAAGATCTGACCATTTTAAGTGAACAGAACTAGCAGCCACCAGCCTAGGTTTTTAAAATATTATTGTTTCAATAAAGTTATGTCAAATTGTGTAGGAAATAATTTGTCTTTGGTTTTTAATCTTGGGGGGGGGGGAAAAGCACTTTACGTTGACTTTTTGTTGTCGTTGTTGCAATGCTGGAGTAGGATAGCAGAGTGTAACAATCAAGCACTTTAACCAAGCACTACTTTAATTTGTGCCTCCTGTTGTGACTGTGATTTGTTACACACCTGTAGCAAATCACAACTTGTCCTGTGATAACTGTGATGGTAATCTTTTCTGTTGTTCTCTGTTTCTACTGTAAAACTCAACTGTAAATAACTGTCGATGAGCGTTTCCTGACCTATTCCGAGTTCCTGCCGGGGCGTGTAGCGATCTGCAGGCAGCAGGTCCGGGGACGAGCTGAGACACAGGACGCGGGAGCGGAGGCACAGGTGGGAGGAAGACCCCCCCCACAAGCCGCTCAAGTCCGCTGCGTTTTGTTCCTTCCTATTGTAAAACCAAGCCGTTGGTTAGTCCTGAATGTACCGTCTGTCCGTCCAGGCCGTGCCGCACTCCTGTCTGTAACCCTAGTGGTGAATGCAGCATGTACGGACAAAAGCAATAAGCACATAACCTGTTCTAGCAACTACTGTGGGTTGCGGTGAGAGCTTTGTTAGGTGTCTCCTTGGCACAGCTGTCCACGCGGTGGAGTGACTCTGCTCTGCTCAGCCGACCCCGGCCCCGGGCGGTGGGACCAGCCGAGGGACCCACTCAGAGCCGCCCTCGCAAGGCGAGACCCTGGGAAGGCGCGAGTAAGGCCCGAGCCACCCCCTCGGGAATTACCCGCCGGCAGCGAGAGGCCTCGTGCCGCGCAAAGAGTGACGCGGAAGGTACCCGAAAAGAAGCCCCAGGCGCCATGTACTCCACAGGGTATTTACACAGGGCCAGTTCCTGAGGTTTGTTCGCTTTTACTCTGCCTTCCCGCAGCCTAAACCACCGCTCCTCTGAGTGGGCTCTTTGCCTGGTGAAGGACTTTAGGATTTGGCCATAGTAAATACAAGTGTACTTAGAGGAACCGACGTGTTGCTGAGATACTAGTTAAGATTGAGTTGACGTGAAAAAGTAAAGTGACTTTCCAGCAGATAAGCTTTAAATACTGATTTATTCTGTGGCTTTCTGAGGCCACGGAGCAGCAACGAGAAATCTTAAGGAGAACAGTCTTAACATAATCTCTGTGTTTCAGTGATCATTCTTGTCTGCCATCTGCACAAATGTAAAAAGAAGAAAAATCAGGGAAAATTTTTTTGATAAAGTAAGTAATAGTGATTTCCAAGTTAAATATTTTTAGAGCTGATGCTTTCATGTGGAAAAAAAAGTCATATTTTACATATCACAAAAGTGAACATATTTAAATATAGCCATATAGTGTAGTATTTACCACACTCTCATCCAAATTGATGTATTTGGTTTATAGATGGCACTGACAAAAATGTATAGATCAACAATTCTATCATTTTTTACCTGATAATCAACTGGTGCAACTCTCCTTGTAACCAAAGGCCCTCTGTCTGCCTTGTGTGATCGCTCATGACACACACCTTATGTCATCTATTTAGTCCTACCTTTAAAGTAGCATTTTATTGAGTCACTTTTGAAAGCCAAATTCAAAAGTATCATTAAAAATCTACCTTTTAAGTCTGAATAGCCAAAGTCCTATAGATTTCTTATAGAAAGCAAATAATTAAAAATTAAGCATATAATATGCTTGAAGAGCATTTCTTTCTTATTTGTGTATGAAGATGTAGCTCTCATTTTGTGCCCAATTCAAAAGGAAGTATGTTTAATTTATTTTAATGAAATAAAGTCTGAATATGAAGTATGTATCTATATATGTGTGTGTGTGCATAATACACATATATATAATGTAAGCACTGGGAAATCTACTCTGACCTAAAGCTTTGATAGACTAAATCTGTACTCATTGCAAAGGAAAGGCAGTGCTTTGAAAACATAATGCTCACCAAATCCTATAGACCCTAGAAAGACAATTTAATTTTATAGTTTGTTTGATCCATGTTTCCCAAAGTTCATAACAGTTGGGGAAAAAAGGCGGTATCTCCTGCATCAAGCTAAAGTGTGCAGTTTAATCACTGATATTTGGCATTCAGGTCTGCGAATTTACTGTGCACCATGTATCAAGCAAGCTGACAGAGCCTCACCTGCTGCTGCAGAAGACTTCACGCTTGAAAGGACTATGTACGTGTGATGTCTGCGCTTGCTTGTATCCTACACCATCAACATTGTTTTTAATACATATCTATAAATATATATATAGAACATATATATGTGTGTGGAAGGAGTGGGTGCAGTTTTCTTAACCAGGAGGCAAAGATTCTTTGAGTTTTAGCCTTGAACAGAGGAAAAAAGCCGTGACATTGCAGTAGATTTCTCAGTGCCTTTTCTTAGAAACTTCACCTAAGCACACTTATGGAAAAAAACAAAAACAAAAACAAAAACAAAAAAACCAGAAAACAACCCAAAACAAAAGAGTCTCCTGTGAAATCCACATTTTTCTGAAAGGTTCGAGAGTCAATAAAGGTAGAAGAAAGGAGAAAAAAAAAAAAAAAAAGAGAGAGAGAGAGGAAAAGAAAACCCGTGGAACGCACATTCCCTTCCTGAACATGCCGTGTGTCAAATGCCGGGGAATATCCGCCTGTGCGAGTCACGCAGAAACACATCCGAGGCCGTCGGTTTCTTTGGCAACTATGGCTGTGATAAACTGTAGCCTTTTCTTCCCTTGCAGCTAATAAGATACACATTTCTAAGGAAAACAGTTATTCTCTTCTGTAAAATTGTAATGTATTGTTAATATTTGTACCTATTGTATATTTATGTCTTGACAGAATTATGACCGGTACAGTTTATAGTAAACAGCAAGGGTATGTAAAACTCATTGCAAAGACAAGGTTTCTAAAGCCACGTTCTCTCTCTGTTGGTAAGCTCCACGTAACGTGATCTCCACTAGTTTTCAACACCTCATTTTAAAGCGAATTGTAGAATTACTGAATAAAGTAATCGAGCGATGGAGAACCATGTGGCACCAGTGCCCTCCTGCACAGCCCAGCCGGGAACGACGTGGGGAGTTGGGCTTCCCTGGTCACTCCAAATTAGCTCCAACCCCTTCATGTTTGGTCAGCCACTTCTGCTTACAGTAATCAGACTGAATTAGTGTTACCTTGGGTTGCTTTCGGATCACCCACTTGGGGAGAATATGGCTTTAAATAGTTCTTGAATAAAGTACAGAAGTTCTAGTTACCTCTGTACCTCCTGCTTGCCATTGTGTTGGCTTTATAAGTATCTGATGTATGGAAAAGTCATGTGACTTTCATGCATTCCAGAGTAGTCTATTTTTCTGTTCAGATTTAAAAAAAAAAAAAATTATATATATATATATATATAAAAATATAAATATATATCTGTATTTTTAGCAAATTTATAATAGGGCAATCAAGTCAGATTTCTTCTTTTTGTATTACAGAATAATATATTAGATGCTTTCTTGGTGTTCATTTACACAGCTGATCCCCCAACCTTTTTCGTTGTCATTATCCTCTTCTGTTCTGACCAACACCTGCAACATCCCTCCTGGAAGTGCGTCTGCGAAAGGTCACGGAGTTTGTCTGATCTTGTCGTGTTTTTGTATTTTCCTGTTTGTGGTACTTAAAACTAACCAGAGACTGCCTATGGAAAGTGAGAAACACAGAGCGGGCCAGACCCTGCCCTCGGTGATGGCAGGGGAGGTGCCAGCCAGTGCCACTGGCTGCAGTGTTCTTCCAGATCCACATTGATTAAGCTGAGAACATAAGGAAGAGACAGGATATGAATCTGACTGTCCTAATAATTAGGATGGAGTTTGGGATAAGCATCAAAAATCAAGCTCTTATTTTAAGGCAGTGGCCTGACAATGCTCAGGCAACGCTCCCACCTTCGGGGATGTTTTTCCTGCGTTAAAACAGAAGTGTCAAGACTTTTATTTCCCACTGGCCTTTGGAATTTTTATTTTTGGTCCCAGAGAAAATCAGGAGATGAGAAAAACCTGAACATAAACATTCAGAAAGGGACCGGATTTTCATTTAGTTATGGTCAAGTTTGTCCATGTACCTGCTTACTTAATAGATCCTCCTTGCTCCCTTTACAGCTGTACCCTGACAGAAACTGAATAAAAAGTCCATGAGATAAATGTGCATCCTGAAGTTATCTCATGGCCTGGTGAAGTTTAACATGATGAAGAGCTTCAGACCTGCTCTGTAGCTCTGCACAGACATCTCCTTTTGAATGCACCCACTAGTCTGGTTAGTGACCATGTCTTTGCCAAAGATGGAGTTTTGGTTCTATTTCCTTTTGTTTGCTTGTGTGATTTTCCTTACATGTCCACCACAGTAGCCAATAAACCTGAAACAGATTTAATTTGGGAAAATGTGTGTTTCAGAAAGTCCAGATGCCACTCAAATGAACAGAATAACCAGTAGACCCAGTTTTGTATGTTATTAATTATCAGCAGGGCCCGTTCACACATGAAGGTATTAAAGCTGGGTAGGATTTTTCTGTTCTGGGAAGCAATTAATGCAATAGCCCCCCATATCTATCATCAACAATCACATAAAAGGTCCCTTCAAAAGGCACCTTCCATGTCAGCAAGTTTGTTTGAGCACAGTCAACAAAACCATAGAAAGCTTCCAGTCACACCAGTCTTAACTTCAGCCTCCCACACCAGGACAGGAACACCCCAAATACCAACCAGCCCTCTGAAGAAGAGATGTTTCTTTTCCAGCATGTGTCTCATCACATTTAGGCTCTTGCACTGAAACTTTGTCTTGGCCAGACAAAGGAAACCTTAGGAAAACTGAAAGTCTGCATCCAGGGTGTGTATCCCCTTCGTTGCTGGTGTTACCTAAGCCACAATAAGTGTCCTTTGACACCAATGGTTGGGTGCCACAAGTGTTCATATCTGTAAATACTACTCAGAATTTTGCTTTGCTTGATTCTGGCTTCATCGCACAAGGAATTTTCAGTCTAGAGGCTTAGAAGAGAAAGCAAAAGCTTCCTTTTTCTTTTTAACTAGAAGTAATACTATTGATGCTCTGTAGGACTGAACAAGGATTAACCTTTGTTTTTAAAGGGGTCTTTTCAAGACTGCAGTGACACTTCCTTCAGCAATTAGTAATCAGGCTGGACTCAGTACAAAGACCCCTTCAAACCAGAGCTTCATGGAAACCAGGGAGCCAAATTTACATGAAATTCCAAATTCTTTGCTGCTGTAAGTAAAAGCTCATTTAGACCAGTAAAGAATTTGGACCCACATCTCTAAAAACTAATGGAAAACTAATAGCTTTGTATGACCTCAGGGCTGGAGGTGTCTGCCCACGGTACCTCCAAGGAAACCAATGGGGTGAGAGAATGGGAAACCGAGGCAGGTCAGTGAAAGCCTGGGAAAGGAGCAAATCCTTCCGTCAAGAGGATGACAAACATGTCATTCCAAACTTGACTGAGCATCCATCCACGTCAGCTCACTCGATGGGGACTTGATGCCACAGGTGGCATCCCAAATTCACAGGTGACTGTCCCTAGAGCAGGACCACAACACCAGCCCCACAGTTCAGTGCTCTCAACCCTTGGTCCAGGGGCTTTCTGATGCTGGGAGGACACTACTAGCACATGGGCCAGTGGTTACTTTTTGAGGCAATTCACCCATTCTTCTCTAATCTCTCTATTTCATTCAGGAGCTCTACCCTTTATGACTCTTCTTCCTGTGATGTTTCACTGCCTCCACGTACCATTAGCCACATATGGTTGGCTCCTCCAACCCCTGTGATTTATTTTGTTTATGTCACTTCTGTTGGCTTGTGACAAAGAAGAACATTTTTTCCCTTTTCTCTGGCTTTTTTGGTGGTGGGTGCAGAAAATTGCTTTTGCATTGAACCATTCCCCACTGGTGTGCTTGGGGGGTGGGGGAGCGGCATCTCCATGTTACTTTGAATTTTGAAGCCATGGTACTGTACTCAGAAAGGCCAGCCACAGCTACCAACCAAACTCGCTTTCCAACTAGATTAGCATTAAAAAAATACACCCCAACTTCCTGCAGCAGAATCCTGCGCTCTCATCAGGCAAGGGAAGCAGTTCCTGAAAGGAGAGAAAACATCAGAGGGGCACTGTTACAAGTGCTGATTAACAACGACTCCACGCTCAGAGGAGGACCCGGGGCTGTGTTGCACATCGGGGCTGCTCCACATTTCCCAGGGCTGGGAGCAGCCTTGGGCCCTCCTTTTCCAAAAGCCCAGGGCAGCTGCTGGACCTGCAGGGCCCCCAAGCCCGGGCAAGGGCTTCCCAGTGACACCTCCAAAGGGCAGAAGCTCAGCATCCCTAGTCACTGAAGGATAGGAAAGCTGTGGGGTTCCCTTTAGAAGACAAATGTGATTTTTAACAACAAATAAAAACTGGAAAATGTGTTTCCTGTGCTTCTGCTGGTACATGTAGATGGAATTGCTTTTGTAGCTGGAAATTGAAAGCGACTGACCCAGAAAGGGCAGACTGGGACTGGTTTCTCCCTTACCTTGCACTTTGGTTATTTTATACCCTGTGCAGTGGGGAAGCAATGGGGAACCCTGGTCAGTGTGTCTGTAAGGAAGGGCAGTGCTCATGCCTGACAGCCCAGCAGATCCTGCACCTCTGGCACAGTCTCTTCCTTGGGTTATATATTGGACCTACCCAAGGGGCAATGTGCCAGCAGATGTTTTCTCCCCTTTTGAGAAATGTTTCCATGCCCTGGCACTTTGGGGTGATTACAGCAACATTAGCCATATACTAGTGTATTTAGAGTCTTACATTTTTTGTAACTTTGATTTAGTCATTCTTTGTTGAAGTTTATTGACTTCTCCGGTTGTTTCCGTAAACAAATTATTAAAAAAAAAAAAAAAATCCGTGTCTTTATATGCATGTAGTAGTATGAAACTGTGATCAATGTGTGACATTCAGAAACTGTACTGTCTTGTAAAATATGTCCAAATGTCTAAGGGTTTTAAAGCAATGGTCCCTTACTACAGCCTACAGAAATAAATAAAAAGGTATGGATAAACCCAAAGCCTTTACTGCTCTGTTTCATGGTCACATACACTGGCCAAAAATACAGTTCCGATCAGCTGGCACTGAGCTTCAGCTGCAGCTCATTGCAGCTGACAGCAGGTTTAGACATATGTTATTTGCTCACGGAGAAGGCCGTGATTCAGGAAAGCAGTGCCGAGCCTGACACCTCCTGTTGCAAGTCTGACAGATCCAGTGCATAAACCTCCAGTCCTCACCCTACACGGACAAATCCATCTGCATCTCCCGGCACCAGGGACCGGGGCCTCACCCAGCCCCTCTGTGCACAGACTGGGGGTGTGCAGCACACACGTGGTCCTTGTCACACACATGGCCCCTGTCACACACATGGTCCCTGTCACACACGTGGCCCCTGTCACACACGTGGTCCCTGTCACACACATGGTCTGTGCCACACTAGCTGTGCAGGGGAATCAGCATCTTGATCATGTGATTGTGCAGATGCAGAACCAGATGCAGATGGGAGAACAGCTGAGGTTTGGAGACAAGGAGCTCTGG